TTGAAAAATTGGTGATTCTCATATTTCAATAGTGAAACACGTAAGAACGATGTTGATTTCTTTTCCTTTTTTTGTAGTTTTGGCCACCCAATACCCGTCTCCACCTGAAATCCACCCCTCTCTCCACAACCTAGCACACTGAGCGAACCCAGGACCGTTACCTTTCCCCAGAAATCTAGTTTTCTCCCTTTTGTGTAAATTTTTGAGGTTTTGGAATCAATTAGAATTGGTTTTGTAGAATCATCCGGTTTGGTAATTCCGGCTAAAAATTACCTGGCGCCTATAGATTTTTGTATTTTTGAGTTTAACTAGATGAAGGGGAAGAAGGGCGAAGGTAATAGGCATTTTTAACCCCCATACGAAAATGTCACGTTACAAGGGTATCAAGTTTATAGATAGAAGAACAAGTACGTCTGAAATTTTGGAAGATATCTGCCAAAAGTACCACAACAGTTGCTACATAGAGGTCGGAATATTCACCTAAATATGTAATGCGAAAAACGTTCCAAACTTTTTGCGCATGCTCGTAATCCTCAGTAGAGACCCTCTCATCATTCAATTTCCAATAGTATTTCTTGATGGGAGGCAATTGAGGGTCATTGAGTTTCTCCTATGAGTCCAAGTACTCGTATGGGAAAACCCTTTGTCTAGTCAATAAACGGAATTTCTCATGATTATCATTACAATACTTTCGCGTTATGGATTTATCTTGAACATCGAGATAAGATGCCAATTTTTCCAAGCTACTTGCCATGAACCGGAACGAATCAATGAATCGAAAATGAATTTTAGTCTCATCAACGGGTTTCGTGAAGGAGATATACTTCTCCTTATTGATGGGTAAAAGATCTATTGAACCTGGGAATTGTGTTGCGAGTGTCTTGATAAGAAACTGTGAGTCTTACCCGGGAGGTTATGGAAAACTACTGGGATTATGTGAGCGTTTTTATAGTTGACATTACATCCCGGGTGTGCTGGACCGCGATACTTGCTTGTGAAATGCCAGTGATCGCGATGTTTCTTATCAGTGGGGTTGAAAGATTTCTCGCATATGTGACAAACTTGAGCATTAGCGAATTCCTGAGCTTGCTGAGGTGTGAGAGGCTCCATCGGTACATTAATATCTAAACATACATCAACCTCATGAGCTATTCTTTGCTATTCACCTATGAACCATTCAATACAATCAGGTCCACGTTTCATCTCGAATTCTGACCGGGTGTCATCAAAAGCACAATGCCAGTAAAATGCTACACTGTAAGGGATGTGCTTCTGATACACAGATTCAGATTTAGTTGGTTCCAAGATGCACTCCAATTCTGCGTAGATAACAAATGGAACCATTTCTTTGAATCGATAATTCTTAAAACTCATAATATTTTTCCCCTCTTGTGGTAGCACCATTCTGTACTTGTTAATTTTAATACAGTCTTTCTCATGATTCTTGAATGATTCTTCTGTTACAAAATGACGTAAACAGTGATCACAAAACTCTATATGATGATTATGTTTGGATAATTGTGAACTTACTAGTCGAGACAAATTCCGAATCCAAGCGAAATGATAGATCGGTTGCGTATCGCGTTCCATTTGTACATTATCATGAAGTAACGGTGAATCGTGGGCCAGATGGACTTGATTTTACTTAAATATGAGGGCATAATCTCTCTATCATCATCTATACTGTAAACATTGATCGATAGTCCATTCATTCGCTCAAATTTTGGAATGTTCTTCAACTGCATCGGGAACTCCAGGCCGGTGTAGTTTAGTCTCGTTATTCCATCTGAGAGAGTAGCCCCGGAATAATGAGGATAAGAGCTCATACGATCATTTCGATCATTGTAATATCCGCAACATAAAGCTCTTCCTGAATTTTCAAAGTTACCCTTATGGTAATCTGAATCTTGATATTAGTCATAATCAATATGCGTTACTGTACGACATGTATATGAATTTCCAAAGCTCTTACTACGGTAAAGAGGCTGAACCACTCTTGAGTAAGACCGATTTCCTCACCTATGCTCCACTAATTGTCATTGATTGTTCAAAGCAAAATGTGTACTTGAAATCCGGACCAGTTGATATTCGCCTTGATTTCGAGTCTGATCGTAATTTTCCTGGTCAAACTGCAGCCTATTGCTTAATCTTACATGATCGTATCGTGAAGTATCACCCAATTAGTGGGGAGCGATAAAAATATGATTTAAATGAAAACAAAACAAAATATTTTTTATATTTTTATTCTTCAATGTAACTGTTTTTGTAATAAAAGAAAAAAAAACATATGCATCTTTTCATTTCCAAAACATTTAGAACCTTCTCGATTTCTTGAGCTTCTTAGATTTATACGAATGATGGCGTTTTCGGCTACTCCCTTCCCCGCGGAGACATTTTGGACTGCAGTACGCGAATACTTTTCACAAGTTCCAAATTCTCCTTCAAATCAAGGAAATCATATAGAAAATCCCATGCCGTTTGTGGTGGTTTATCACCATAATGTCGGATAACAATATCGTTATTGTGCACACAAAAAGCACACAAAAATTTCACTTCGTCTGGGCTCAAATGTTCCATTATAAAAACTGACGCTATGTTAGAACACTCAATGTTTAAAAACATATCAGGAATGTTGTAGAATTGTGATGATATATAATTCCAGCCAATCCGAGGAGATTCTCTATCGCCTCCTTCACTCAGCTCGTTTTCATAAAATTACGCACCACCTCCAGAAGTAAACACTTCCAAGAATTGTTTTGGTACAATCCAGGGAGCTCCATAGACCAGCTCGTCGGAATTATCCACGTCGACGTGTTGAAGTCCGCGGGACACGGACTAACAGTTATTGATATTTTCTCGAAATATGCCTGGGCTATACCAACCAAGACGAAGAATGGGAAGGATGTGAGCAGTGCTATGGCCTCCATACTTGAACAGGGTCGTGTACCACAGAAGCTGCATGTGGGCAGAGGCAGAGTTTTACAATAGCGAATGCAAAAAGCTCATGAACGACTATGGCATTACCATGTAGTCAACCTTTAGTAATCTCAAAGCATCCATCTGTGAGCGATTTAATTGCACACTAAAAGAGAAGATGTGGAAAGAGTTCAGCTTACAAGGAACATATGAGTGGATTCCATTGTCAAGAGTCTTGTTCAGTCCTATAATGACACCTAGCATCGCACAATCCGGATGAAACCAAAATATGTCACTGCTGCTCATGAGAAGTACCTTTTACGTTATATGTACGGAAAACTGGAAACTCACCGAAAAAAGAAAATCAAGTTCACGGGTGGAGATAAGGTGCGCATCAGCAAGTACAAGAATTTTTTCGAGAATTTTTTCTATACACCCAACTGGACAACCGATATATTCACGATAAGTGTGGTTCTAAACACCAATCCTGTGACCTACAAGCTCATCGATTATGAGGACAAACCAATTGAGGGTGGATTTTACCAGAAGGAGTTAACGAAAGTCAGATATCCTGACATCTACCTCGTAGAGAAGATACTTCGAAGACGTGGAAACAAAGTATTTGTCAAATGATTGGGTTTTTATAATTCACACAATAGTTGGATAGATAAGAATGCATTGTAATAAATGAATGAATAATAAAGAAGATTATTCTTTGAAAAATGACATATTTTATTTACAATAGCCATATGGTACAGTTTCAGTTGAGTTTGTACAGAGTATTCTCTCATCGTCATTCCAACTAAGAGCTATTTTTTTCTGCTGTATAGTATATACATCATGGTTCTGACTTTTTATCAAATACTGTGATTTAGTTAGACTTTGGTGATTTATCAGAGAGTCTTTATAGTCATCAAACGTAATCTTTTTCAATGCTGAACCTTTCACTCCTTTCGCACGCATCTTCGCTCTCTCATCACCATGAATTTTAAACGTGTACAATTTTGCTCTTAAACCAACAAATTCACTCATTACCTTACCATTACACTCATCTTTCATAAGTCCTCCCGGGCACATCTAGCGTGTTTCAGGCAACATTGCGCAGCGGAAAACTCGATTTTCTCTCCGAGAATTTGGGATGTAATATTAAAGAAAAAATACTAGAATTTTCTAGAGTGACAGCGGTGGCTGTGTGGTCACAGCAAAGGGTTGACATGTGGCGAACCCGGGTTCAATTCGCGGAGGGGGTCAAAATTTGTAATCTCTAATCTCACTGACTGAGCGAGGGCTCATAAGAGACGACTGTACCAAGTCAGGTTTTCCTCAATTGAGGTTATTCCTAGGCCCTCGATATATGCGGTACAGCGGGAATGAGAAAAGAACAAAACGTTAAAATCGAGAAGATATATATAAGCATGAGAAATTTTCCAGTCAACCAGTCGATGGTAGGAACAAAAAACAACCCACTCTGGCGATTCCCTTTCATGGTGATCAATCAAAAATCACACTAGAAAAATGATTTATGGGCAACGACAAAATAGAATCGAAATTCCCTAGGCTACCTAGGGACCCTAGTGAATATAAAACTGACTGATTTAAACAGGGAAAAATGAAGAAGAAACTCAAAAATCAAAGATGGAAGAATGACTTTTTTGGTGTCCCCCGACTTTGCTCTCTTTAGTTCTGAGTTTTTATGAGTCTCTTTTTTAATCTTCGATTTTGTTGGTTTCTTTTTTATATACTTATCTCTGCACCCTACTCAAAAATTCAGAATGCAATGGAGAGGGATATGTCGTAAATAATGCATCAACATTTCCAAGACCGCGATATAAATAGTTCCAAGATTTGTCCACGCCCTATTTAACCTTGGAACGGGTTTGTAGATATTGTGTAGTTTGTACTGTGCTCAAACGTCGACACTTCGAAGGCCGCGACGTAAACAGTTCCAAGAATTGTTTACGACCAATGGAATGCAACCTTGGAAGGTGTTTATCCGAATTGCATAGTTTGTATTGCGCTCAAACGTCGACATTTCAAAAGCCACGATATAAACAATTCTAAGAATTGTTTATGACCAATGGAATGCAACCTTGGAACGTGTTTAACCGAATTGCGTAGTTTGTACTGCACTTAGATGTAAATAATTCCAAGGTCGCGACGTAGATAGTTCCAAGAATTGTTTACGAAGAATGGAATTTCACCTTGAAGCGCTATTGCTTAAGTTACGTAGTTTGTACTGCGCTTAAACGTGGACACTTCCAAGCTCGCGACGTAAACGGTTTCAAAAATTGTTTATGAGTAGTGGAATACCACCTTGGAATAACGTAGTTTGTACTGCACTTAAACGTCAACCCTTCGAAGGTCACGACGCAAACAGTTCTGGGAATTGTTGTCAATCTACTGAAACGTTTGTTTCCGTAGAAGTGCGCCGGACATCTCGACTACGTGAAGAATTCTCCGTTCCTATAGAAAATGCGCACATATTTCAAGAATTTTCTTTCGAAATGTGTCTAAGATTAAACTTCAGTATAATCTGAACAGCTCCTGACCAATAGAATTAGTTGATTATCTAAGAAATTTTCTAGGAAAATTATCTAAAAAATTATCTCCAACTTTATCTGAATTTCTCTCCACCAATAGGATTCATTGTATAGGATTATCTAGGGAATTTCCTGGAGAAATCATCTAAGGAATTCTCTAGGGCAATTATCTAAAAGTATTATCTGAAAATTATCTAGAAATTTATCTGAATCTCTATCCACCAATAGGATTCGTTGTATAGAATTATCTAGGGAATTTTCTAGAGAAATTATCTGGAAGTATTATCTGGAACTTGATTTGCAATTCTCCATGAATCGCTCTCGACTAATAGGATAGGAAAATTATCTAGAAGTATTACCTGAAAATTATCTGAAACTTTATCTGAATATCTCTCCACTAATAGGATTTGTTGTATAGAATTATCTAGGGAATTTTCTAGAGAAATTATCTAGAAATATTATCTAAAAATTATCTGAAACTTTATCTGAATCTCTCTCCATTAATAGGATTCGTTGTATAGAATTATATAGGGAATTTTCCAGAGAAATTATTTAGAAAATTATTTGGAAAGAAAATTATCTACTATTTTATCTGAACCGAATGAAATTATCTCAGGCATTCCTTATAAAAAACGCACGGTGCGTGCGACTCTGATTAGTTGGAAAGTCGCCAGCTAGCAAACAAGGTATTTTCGTGTGTGTACAGTCATAAGTGATCACATCAAAATGGATCCTAAGTCGTGCTTAAAAGTGTTGAATAGGCCGCAGTTGGCATTTAAGAGTGCATCTTCTCAAGATATTGATCGTTGGATTGAAAAGTGCCAACATTATGTCAGACTTTACGAGAAAGCTTTGAAGAAAATTGAAAATCTTTCCGTTGGAGAAAAAATAAGGATACAGATAACAGTTTCATTGCTCCACACATATTGTGAACGATTTAAAGAAAAGAAGAAGCCACAGCATGGTGGACCAATCGGTGTCCCATCGAAACCAAAAGATGAAGTACTCTGGAAGGATCTAGAATCCGCTTTCAAAAACCGAATTAAAACAGGAATGATCGTTAATCTGAGTCACAAGGATCCTCAATCTTTCCTGAAAGATGCCAAATCTCTGGCAGTCGTTTGCTTGCAGGATGCCCTACAACAGCAAGGAAATATCAAGGCCAATGGAGTCCTTGCCTGCAAGTTCCAAGTGACTAAGAATGGTGAGGTGATTGAAGAGACAACATATTTCAACATTAAAAATGAAATCATTCTCCCCACGACTAATATTGAAGAATGGTTCGATCAGAAGCTCACAGAACGATTGCTTGCAAAAATCGAGGATTTCCAGGAGAAAGACTCCGGATGGGAACTGCTTGAAGTTATGAACCTCACTGTCAACGTCAACAAGTACGTGCCTCTCGCAGCGGGGTCGAATACATTCATCCCATAATTTAAACATGTACAGTTGAAGAGAGCAGTGGTGAACGTTAAAAACAATGATGAGTATTGTTTCCTGTGGGCAGTGACAGCACCTCTACATCCAGCTCCAATTAACGTTGATGGTATGAGCTCTTATCCTTATTATTCCGAGGTTACTCTCCAAGATGGAATAACGAGAGTAAACTACACCGGCCTGGAGTTCCCGATGCAGTTGAAGAACATTCCAAAATTTGAGCGAATGAATGGATTATCGATCAATGGTTACAGTATAGATGATGATAAAGATATTGTGCCGTTATATTTAAGTAAAATCAAGTCCATCTGGCCCACGATTCATCTCTTGTTACTTCATGATAATGTACAAAGGGAACGCGATACGCAATACATCGATCATTCCGCTTGGATTCGGAATTCGTCTCGACTAGTAAGTTCACCATTATCCAAACATAATCATCATATAGAGTTTTGTGATGACTGTTTAGGCCATTTTGTAACAGAAGAATCCTTCAAGAATTATGAGAAAGACTGTATTGAGATTAACAAGTACAGAATGATGCTACCAGAAGAGGGTAAAAATATTATGAGTTTTAAGAATTATCGATTCAAGGAAATGGTTCCATTTGTTATCTATGCAGATTTGGAGTGCATCTTGGAACCAACTAAATCTGAATCTGTGTATCAGAAGCACAAGCATTGTGCTTTTGATGACATCCCGTCAGAATTCGAGATGAAACGTGGACCTGATTGTATTGAATGGTTCATAGGTGAATTGCAAAGAATAGCTCATGAGGTTGATGTATGTTTAGATATTAACGTAACGATGGAGCCTCCCATACCTCAGCAAACTCAGGAATTCGCTAATGCTCAAGTTTGTCACATATGCGAGAAATCTTTCAATCCGACTGATAAGAAACATCGCGACCACTGGCATTTTACAGGCAAGTATCGTGGTCCAGCACACACGGGATGTAATGTCAACTATAAAAACTCTCACATAATCCCAGTAGTTTTCCATAACCTCTCCGGCTACGACTCACATTTTCTTATCAAGACACTCGTAATACAATTCCCAGGTTCAATAGATCTTTTACCCATCAATAAGGAGAAGTATATCTCCTTCACGAAACACGTTGATGAGACTAAAATGCATTTTCGATTCATTGATTCGTTCCGGTTCATGGCAAGTAGCTTGGAAAAATTGGCATCTTATCTCGATGATCAAGATAAATCCATAACGCTAAAGTATTGTAATGATAATCAAGAGAAATTCCGTTTATTGTCTAGAAAAGGGGTTTTCCCATGCGAGTACGTGGACTATTGGGAGGAACTCAATGACCCTCAATTGCCTCCCATCGAGAAATTCTATTCCAAATTGAATGATGAGAGTATCTCTACTGAGGAATACGAGCATGCACAAACAGTTTGGAACGGTTTTCGCATCACATATTTAGGTGAATATTCCGACCTCTATCTAGCAACAGTTGTAGTACTTTTGGCAGATATCTTCCAAAATTTCAGAGGTACTTGTTCTTCTGTCTATAAACTTGATCCCCTTTATTACTATACGGCACCCGGATTAGCATTTGATGCTATGCTGAAATGCACTAGTGGCAACCTTGAGCTTCTCACAGACATTGAGTCGCACTTATTCATTGAGAAGGGGATTCGA